TGTTCCTGTCAGCAGTCCCCCAAAGCAGCCAGGGCTCACGGCTCTTCCCAGAGCAGCCCATTCAGCAGTCCTCCCCAAATCCCGAGCGCCTTTGCCAGCTCTGCCAGCTCTGAAGAGGACCTGCTGGCCAACTGGCAGCGTATGTTTGTGGACAAGGCACCCCCCACCTCAGAGCGAGTGCTGATGAACCGCACAGCCTTCAGCCGTGACACGGCCCCTGAGCTCCAGAAGAGGTTCAGCCGCTCCATGCAGGAGCTGGGTAGGGCAGCCTCGGCTTATTCAGATGGCGAGGAGTCAGCGCAGAGCTGCAGCTGGACCATGAGCCGGGACTCGAGCGTGGACACAGACAGCACCGAGTCGAGAGCCCGCAGGAGCCATTTCTCCTCAGACTATGGTACAGATTTCTCCCAAGATGAAGCCCAGAAGCTGTTGCAGGGAAGCGGTGAAGGCACTGCTGAGCCTGGAAGCCCCTCACCAGAGAAGCACAAGGACTATGTGGACCTTGGCTTGCCCGAGAGCCCAGCTGAGGAGAGAGAAATGTTGCTCCAGGGAAGCAGGGAGAGCAACCAAGGAGGTGCCCAAGAGGAAGATGGGGAATGTAGGGTCAAACCTCCCTTCAGTCGGCCACACCGCAGCCCCAAGAGGATGGGGGTCCACCACTTACATCGCAAGGACAGTCTGACACAAGCCCAGGAGCAGGGCAACCTTCTCAGCTGAGGCACAGCAAGAAGCAGCCACATGCTGCAGTGCTGTGGGCTTCCTCCATCTGTCCACCTTGTGAGGGAGAAAATGCCCTCGGTACCCTCCTTCTGGGGGGAGCTCTGCTCTGAAATTTTATATTTATTCTCTTCTTTTGCTACCTGGAAGAGCTGAGGTCTCCCTTCTCTGGCACCTCAGACCCGCAGTACTAGCACACACAGTGTGTGGAAGCACACCCACTGCCCCGGCACACTCACAGCTCTCTTCACAGCCTCACACTGGTGCCTGTACCAGAGCTCGTTCTTGGTACCCCTCATCCTGGTGCCTGTGCCTCTTTATGCTCACATCTTCCTTCCCCCTTCCCACTAAGGTACCTGAGGCCCTAGGTGCTCTCATGCTGGTTGCCCACAGCTGCTCTGCTCTCTTTTAACTTGTGCCAACAGGGCAGAGCGCCTGCGTGGTGGTGTCTGATTCCATGCGAGCCCGCAGGGGGCCGTGAGTGGGGCACGAGGACTCTCCCAGCGGATGGCTGTGGGCCCTTGGGGATATGCTGGGATTGCTGTTGTCTCATTTTCCTGCTGGGTTTTGTTTTCCTCAGCTGCCCTCTGGGTGGTTCTCCAGAATCTGCCTCTGCAGGTCCCCACTGCTTGGCTCCTGCATCGGGCTTAGCACCCGGCCCCCGGCTGAGGCACCGCACGGATGCTGGTGCTGTGGTGTGGGGCACGGGGGCTGTCTGCCGAGGTGGTTTGGGGAGGCACTGCCTGCTAGGCGCTGGGGTTTGTGTTTGCGTGTCTCCTCTCACACCTCTTCCCCCGCTCTCTGTGCTGTTGTTTTGTTTGAACGGTGCTGATGCTTTGCTCTTGGGTGGGCTTTTTTCTTCTTTCCAAGCCTTTGGTTTTGGGGTGTATTGTTTTTTCTTTCTCCCCGCCCTGCATAAACAGACACAGCCATTGGCAGCTGGTCCGATGCCTGCGTTGAGGGTGTGTTGAGCAGGCTCAGCTCTCAGAGCTGTGCTTCCCTCTGATCCTGGCCTCCAGCCTGCAGAAACCCCTCCAAACTTGAGAACAAAGTCTCGCCCCGGGCGAGCGAGGTGTGAAGGACGCTACTGGGCTTTTCTGGGCAGGGCTCGGTGCAGGGCCAGCGGGGATGCAAGGGCAGCGTGCTGAGGAGCTGCTCCCTGCAGACACACTACCTCATGGCTCGGCAGCAGCCCTTTGCCAGGGTCTCCTCACACGCCCCCTTCTCCGGGGGGCTCCAGGCTGGCTCTGGCGCCTCTCTGGGGCCTCCCCTTCTGGGTAGGGCCTTTCTGTGCGTTTTCCCTAGTGTAGCGTGATATCGTGTGACTTTTCTTCACAGTCTTGTGTGCTTGGTGTCTTGTTGGGGGGGGGAGGGAAGGGGAGAGGTCTGTAGATGTAGGTTTTTCGGGGTTTTTTTTTTGAGGGCTCATGAAGCCCAGGTGTCCTGTTTTAATTTTGTCCTGTGCCCTTGTCTGTCTGGTGTTTCTTGGCTCCCCCCAGGGGTGTGAGGCAGAGAATAGCCTGGTTCCCTGGGCTGTATCCCCCTCACACCCCGCCAGCTGTCCTCCGCCTGCTGTCTGTTTTTTGAGTTGGGTTTGTGTTGTCCTCCCACCCTACTCGATGAGGGCTCTTCTCTGGGCTATAGGAGAGCAGCCCTCTGTCCAGGAGGGAGCTCCTGTTCATACGCTTACAGCAAGATGTGCAGTCAAGAGCTGCCTGGGGGCCTTGCCCCCCCACCTCCCCAAAACCCCTGTCTCTGCAGAGGGCCTGCAGCTTGCAGCTGGGGCCAGACAGGGCTTCAGCTCAAGCCTGGAGGCTCCAGGGCCTGTGAAAGGGAGCTGCAGCTCTCTCTGGCGGCTGTGTAGGTTGGTTTGTGTACCCTGGCTCAGAGCTGCTGCCTACACACTTGCCTTGTTTCCCACTGCTAATAGTTGTGGAGCTGGATGCCACCCTCTGGCGGGGAGGTGGGACTCAGTATTTCACTACAGTATTTCGCTTGATACCTGTGCAAACAGGCTGGTGCTGAGAGCGGGAGCCACCTCTGAGCCTGCAAGGGTGTTCATCTCCCCTGTCCTGAACGTGGGGGTGGGCTCTTTGCATTTGCTCTCATCAGTCACTCCACTGCTGCATTTCTTCTGTTCTTCTGCAGCGTTGCTGAGGGCTCGCCCCTACAGTGGCTGCCAGCTCCTGCCTCACAGACATCTCCTGCGTTTGGATGCTCACTGAGTGAGCTCTTGTGGCTCTGAGGCTGCTGGTGGCCTGCCTGTGGGACAGCACAGCCACTGGGGCAGTGGGGGACGCGTTGCCCCGCAGGGCTCAGCCCCATCCCCCCTGAATCCTGGCATGCTGGTCAGGGGACAGAAGCCACTCTTGCTGAAGCTGATGGTGCTGGGCAGAGCCAGCCTTCCTCTGCATTTGGTCAAAGTAGACTTCAAAGCAAAACAGTGGAGAAATTGAGGGGTGGCAAAGGGGTGCCCAGTGCCTCACCAGACACTTCTGCTTCGCAGCATTATGCTGCTGGCAGAGGTTGAGGGGGAGCGGTGGCCTCAAGAGGAGCAGAGCCCTCTCCCAGCGGGTACAGTGCCTGCCCTCTGCACTCCTGCTCACCTCCAGCAGTATTGGCTCTGGGGCCTTGAGCTGACCCCACTTTCAGTATCCCAACTCCAGACTGTTAATCTGTAACTAATGTGGGGTTTTTTTTTCTGAAATTTTCAAACTGATGTATATTTTAAGACCAGAAATAAACTATTTTAAAAGTAGTGGCTATGGTGTCCTCTCTGTGGGTTAAGACCTGGACCAAGCTGATCCTGAGCATGTGAGGGAGCAAAGCCTCTCATGGTACAATGTCCCAAGTTTGCTGAAATGCGTGTGCCACCCATTACCTCTCCCAGGGAGAGCGATCCTGTGACCTGTAAGCTTTCCAGGTGGCTGTGAATTCACTAGTCATCCTCGATGCCCACTTCAGCAACATCCTGGTTCAAGGTGTTTGTGCAAATCAAGTCATCTGTGTTGGAGAAGAGGTGCAGTCCCAGGGAAGGTGTGATGTGTGGGGTGAGTGGTGTTTTACTTCTGTAATTGTATCCAGGCTCTGGAAACCTCTCTCTGGGTCTGAATGTAGACTCAGAGATCAGACTGAGCCTGCAGACCAGAATCTATCGTACACAGCAGCACTTGTGTCACTGTTGACTCAGAAGCTGACAGTGGATTAAAAAAAGCGCAGGCTATTTAACCAGGCAACTTTGAGAAACATTAAAAAGATAATGTGGGCAATTTTCACATTACTTAGAGGCTGGGCTTCTCAAAACCTCTGCAGTGAAGCTGCTTGTGCTGTAAGCAGCCTCAATGTTACTCATAAAATTCTGCCTACCCCATTTTAAGTATTTTGCTGGCTGTCCTGTCTGATCTGTGTCTTGGCTGGTCTAGAATAAGGATGAGGTGTAGCTAATTCTTTTATTTGTTGGTTTTCTTGAAGCCCTAGTTTTCAGGGTCATGTCAGAGTATCGGTTCTCCATTTCAGAAACTGAGTTACGTGGACCATATAACATACCCCCCTCACTGGAGTTCATGAGTTTTATAGTTCCAGTTGTCAGTATTTTGTGTGGGGAGGGAGGATTGGGGTTGAAGCCCTCCAAATGTGAGAGAGAGGGAATGCCTGTAGGATGTTGTTACGGACATTTGGAAGTGTTTCCTTTCTGTGTTGAATGGTGCTGCGGAGGTCAGAGGGCTGCAATGAAATTTCCTCCATCTCCCGCATAATGCTGCCTGTGCCCTTCTGACCTAGGTGTATGCAAAGCGTAACGCTGGAAGAGTTGCTTGTTTCTTTGTCCTCATAATTAATGATTTTATTCTGTGTTCCCTTGAGTAGCAGCTGCTGCCACAATTTAATCTTCCAGCCTAATCAGGGCCTTGAAACATGATCATCCTTACCTAGCTCCAGCAAAGGGGCACTTGGCCCAGCAGTGAAACCTGCAGTGCTGGTGCGGGCTGCAGCCTTCACCAGGGGGTGCACAGGTGGTGCCAGACTCCCAGCAGATGGGCTCCAGCCTGGGGGGACAGCAAGTGGGGCTATGCCCGGATCTCCCTCCGGGGCCGAGAGGAGAACCTCCAGGAGGCCGTGGCAGAGAACCCACTCCCGCCGGGACACATCTGCCGGCGCCCCGACCTGACACCCCCTCACCGCCTCCCCCAGTTCCTGCCTGCTCCTGCCACTGGGCAGCTGCGTGTACTGCTCGGCCTCTGCCCCCACCCAGGGCGCTGAGTGACAGAGGCTCACGCCACCACGAGTGGTGCCACGTCTGTGACCTTTATAAAACTCTCATCGTGACAGCGATACAAGCGATAGAAAGAACATCTCTTATACACATCTGAATAAATACAGCCTGTGCCTGGCGGGCACAGCCGGGCGTTGAGGTGACAGCGGGAGGGGGGAGAGGCAGGGCAGCGTGAGCTACACATGCAGCGACTGGACAATCACAAGCAGCCAACGGGGCGTGTGACAACACAGAAACGTGTGTAGAGAGTCGCTCGGATCAGGCTCCGGCGCTCCAAGAGTCGAGGGAGGCATCAACAGGATGTGAAATGCATTGAGAAGACAGCTGGGGACAGCCCACCTGAGGCAGAGGAGCTGGGGGACGCACACTCCCCCAGTGGGCACAGTGCTCTTCTTGGCAGAAGCAGGCAGGGTAGCCCAGCTACATTTCTGTTTCTGCTAAGAGGCTGTCACCAAGACCTGACGTCATCAGGACCATCTGGGAGGTGGAATCTGTGGTGAGAGAGGGAGAAAACCATGAGCTGGCTGGGTTGCCGGAGTGCGGGGCTGTACTCCAGCTCCAGAAGTGAGGATAAGGAATTAGAGCGCCGCAGGGTGGGAAGCAAACTGCTGAGAGGATTGTGAGATTAAGTAGTAACTAGGTCTACTCTGGCCACGTAGCAGAACAGAATCAATGTTTGGAGAAGGGGGAAGGCAGAGACAGCAGCAAGAGCCCAGGGTGGGTATCTGCGTTTGTTATTTTGGCTGCCGAGAAGAACATCAGCTCTGAACCCTCCTCACATACACTTGCAGGTGATACTGGTTGTGCTGACCCAGCTGTGCCCTCACCCAGCCCTGCACAGACCTTTAAATCTGCACTCACCACATCTTTTCAGCTACAGAGACAGCATCCAGGTGGCACAGGCTGGCAGGCTGCAAGCCAACCAAACCCACATGGGATGGTGGTGGTGTTGCCTTCCCAAGAGAAGGGAACGCAGCAGGCAAGCAGCCATTCTCTGACAGTGGAGGCCTGGAAATCCTGACTTTCTGCACTGCATGAATGGAGGGTTTGTGCAGCCCTTCCCTGTCTGCCTCAGGAAGGTGAGGGCAGCTCGCTGGCTCTGTGACGGCACAGAGGACCAGCCAGGAACGCTGCGACTCTCCCTATGCCAAGTGAATCAGCTGCAAGGAGGATGGGCACACATAGCAAGTAAGAAACTCAGCAGGGTACCAGTTTCCCATCCACAAGTCTTTTTAAACATTAAAAAAATACTGTTTTTTTCTGGATGTGAGGGGGGAGATCTTTAGTGCCTGTGTGCTTCAGATCCGCAGTCCTACACATTCAAAACTGCTGCATGGGATCTGTGTTTTGGGGATCAATTTCTGGAAACTGGATCCAAAACTTGGCCAGAGCTGTCAGTAAAGGATTTTTATGGCTCTAATAAATGAGGATCCAGATGTTTTAAGGCCCAGGGAGTGGTTGTGCTTACTCGCTAGTCTGATATGTGAATTGGGAGGAGGGAAGGACAACTAAAGGTTAAAAAAAAACAACCACCCAAACCCGCAGGATGACAGGGTAGGCATGAAAATGTACAATATCATATATATATACAATACACAACAGGCTACTGCTGTCTCCATAATATACCTTTTTTTTTTTTTTTTATGTTAAAAGCCACTGCAGAGACAGGCTGTGGCACCTGGCTAACCCCTTGCACGTTTGGGACGGAGATAGGAATAGCTGATCCTGTGCGGATTGCAGAAGGTTCTTCTGGAAGCAGTGAGGAATGACATGAGTTTTGGCTAGGATATCTGGCAAAGGCCCCTGAGATCTTTAATGCTCCTGCCCTTGAGTTTTAAGACTTTGCACAAAGATTTTGTTCCTGCAGCATCAGGAAAAACGCCTCTGAGGTACCGTTTCCACTCTTTGCAGCAGCCGCATTGTCCTTGGAGGCTGCCTTTCCAAGCACAGCTCAGCCCAACACTGTTTAACATGAAGCTCATGCCTGGAGGCTGCCCGGATTCCAGTTCACAAGGGAGAAGGGACAGACCCCATTCACCAACCCCACCACGAGAGACCGGTGGTGCTGAAAATTCCCCAGACACACCAATTCCTGCCTGTCGGCCCCTGCCCCCAGCCCAGGTCCCAGAGCTCTTACTGTTCTGGCAGATCCAGGGGTTCTTCTCTCTGGCTGTGACTTCACGAACCTCCGTCTCCTCTTCTTCCTCGCCTTCTGAAAGCAGGTCAGAGATCTGCTGCTGCAGCTCGGGACTAATGTTGTTCTCTGCCAAGATGAGTGTCCGTAGGGCTGTGGGGTAATTCTCTACCATGTCCAGCAAGGTCTGTGCAGAGAGCAAGATAAACAAGCTGACAAGCAGCACAAACAGTAGCTAGGCTGAGCAGAAAGAACTTCAAAGCTCTGTCTCCGTGGGAACTCCAGCCCTCCTCTTCTTACCTCTGCCTTCCTTTGGCTTTGACCTCCTTTTGCCAGGCTTCCTGAGAGCCTGAGGGCTTCCCATCTTTCTGTGGGAAGAGCTGAGCCTGGATTTCCTGGTTCTATCAAGAAGAGGGGACTCCTCTACACCCTGTTGCTCACACATATCCAGGCTAGTGCCCTCTTACCAGTGGGAGCTGGGGCTCCAAGAGGACAGCCTGTGCTACCACGCCTTGGCCCCTATCTGTCCACAGAGCTTTAGCTCTGATCCTCAATCACAAGGTCTAACCCCTTACTTCTTCCAAGAAAACCAAACTACAAATAAAGCTGCATGTTTCTCCCTGCTGACCTAAGGGAGATCCAGGAGCCCTAGGTCAGAGCTGTGGCTTACAAGCTGCTCCTGTGGCCAAATGCCATGGGCCAGAGGAAAGCAGCAGTAGCCCTGGGTGCAGGGAGGGAAGGGGCTGCATGTGGACTCAGGGAGGGGGATGGAGGCAGGTATAGGTCCCAGGGCCTCTACAGACAGCCAAGACCTATGTCCTTGAGATGTCAGTGATGCTGTAGAGTAACTGTAGGCTCTCTTACCTGGGCTGACTGGTTGGTAAGTCCTGTTCCCTCCAAGTCCAGAACTTCAAGGGTTCGACTGGAGGCCACAGCGACGGCGAGCATCCCTGCTACCTGGTCACCTGTGGGAGAAGAAAACCAGGGCTGTGAGCAGTGCCTGCCTTCCCTCATGTAATACCACATGTCCTCACGGGCCTGGGGCTGTCATGGAAACATCCTCTGTGTATTTCTGCCATCAGACAACCTCCAAATCTTTGTTATCTTGGGGGAAAAGAGAAAATCTGTTAACTGAGAAAGGAGACAAGGCAAAGGTGCACCATTATGGTTACAGGAGCAGTCACTAATAATCAAGGGGAACACGAAGAAACACAGTGAAATTGTTTAATTCCCTGAGGAACCATGTCTTCCCAAATCTCCTTCCTACTCAAGGATGTGAGGGATTTTAACAGTCCCTGTAAGGCATCCCAGACGCAGAATAAGGAGCTGAATACCTCAGTCTGGGGGGAGGTTGGAGCCAGACAGGGGACCCTGCACCAGCTGATGGATCGCCTCCCTGGAAAGGGGGCAGACTTTTGGGGGTTGACGCAGCAGGAACAGGAGCATTAAAGATTGATGCTGGTGAAGAGACAAGACTCCAGCACATTCTCCTGACATTCCCCCCTGAGTGCCAAGATACCATAAAACCGTGACGCTTTCTCTTAGGGAGAAAAAAAAAAAAAAGGCTGCTGTCTGGTAACACCCTGGGGCCTTTCCTGCCCAAGAGGAGGTCAGACAGACAGGGCCTGGAGGGAGGCTCCCTTTCCAGAAGGGGTGAGGAGGGGAGCGCCCTGCTGATGCTGAGGGAGGCATGGCCTGGTCTCCTCCTCACCACCTTGCAGCAAAGCTTGAGAGAGTTGGTTTCTATGGCAACCAGTGCCAGGCTCTCCTCCTCCTCCTCCTCCCTGCTCCGCCAGGAAGAAGAAGGAGGGAGCGTGGGGACATACTGCATCTGCCAAGCCAGCGTCTGCCAAGCCAGCGTCGCTGCCCAGGGCTTTGGGAACAGGAGAGACAGGGATGGTGAAACGTGATGACACAGGCGGTGGAGCGGGCAAGGCACAACCTCCTTTCTGCACCTCCCTGCAGGGCGTGTGGCCACCTCACACAAGCACGGCAGCAAGCCTGGCTTTCCCTAGAGCCAAGGTCACCCAGCGGGGCAAACTTGCTGCCAGGGATCAGAAGGCACCTACACAAGAAACCACTCCACCTTGCTGGGGCTCTGCTGCCCTTCTAGAGCTCAGTCCCCAGCCACACACCAGCACGAATCGCACAGACGCGGAGAGGCTGAAGTACAGCGTCCCCGGCCCCTCCTCCATGCCCCCCCCAGCTTACCGAGGGGGTTGTAGTCCAGGTTCAATACGCGGAGCTGCGAGCTGTGAGCCACCGCAATGGCAAGGCGTCCCCAGCCTTTGCTTGTGACGCCTGGGTTGGCGCTCAGCGTCAGCTCTTTGAGGCCTGGAGAAGAGTGAGAAGCCAAACCAGAGCCTTAGGGTCACCAAAGCAGTCTCAGGCAAACTAGTTCAGCTAACCAGGATAGCTTTGAGTCATGTCCCCTGTACTCCAACAGGCTAAAGGGTCATCACACATTTCACTGATCAGTGAAATTTTTCACTGCTTTCAGCAGTGTCCCTTCATTTGCCCATGCTGTGACTGCCCCATTTCTCTGCTCTCCCAAACTGCATCTCACTTACCCTAAATAGCAAACACAATGGAAAAAAGTAAGGGGTGTGTGAGGTGACTGACCAGAAGGAGGTGGCATGAGGTGACAGGTTCGAGAGAGGATAACAAGGACAGTAGGCTCTGAAGCCTGCACCAGAGAGCTGTTGCCATTTGAGATAACAGCATCAGTGACACTGTGAGCACACAGAGGACAAGGTGCTGAGGAGAGGAGGTAGGAAGCAGTTTGAAAGTCAGGAGAGAGGCATGGTGTTACCTCAGCACATGACAGCTCTCAGCTTAACTGGCCCAGTGGCCTCTGAACACTGAAGATAACCCCTTGTAAAGATCTGAGTCATGATGCTAAGGCTATGACCACCCTATGACCATACATGCAGAGTGGGTCCACAAGCAGGGACAATTCCCAGGCACTGACAATAAAGCCAAGTGCTTGGGTGGGGGCACACCATATCTTTATGTACGGTCATTATCAACACACAAATGCAAAATAATACATTCACAGACCAAGCTGTCCCCTCCTCCAGCTTCAAACACTCCCATCATGAACCAGCAGCAACCTGTTGGTACCTGAGCTCCAACCTGCCAGCAGGACAGATCAACAGCAGAAAGATCATGCCTGCCCGAGGGAACTGCTCCTCTATTGCTTGGCTTTTCTGCTTTACTTAAGTTGGGGAAAGAAATTCCTCATCCTAGGCAAACTATAGAGCCCGTCTCCTCCAGGGCTGAGGATTTACCGCTGCATGCATCTGCGCTATGGGAAAGCTCCACTGGTCATTGTGCAGCCCACGGCCCCTGGTGCTTACCGGACTTGGCCCCGTCAGGCGGCAGGAGCCCACAGATAAGGTTGATGCCTTCATCACCCAGCATGCAGTCTCCTAGATCCAGAGCCACCAGTGAGGGGTGGATGGAGAGAGCGGGGTTGAGGAGGGCCAAGCCTGCATCTGTCAGGGGACTCCCATGGAGGCTGTGCAGGCAAAAGGGAAAATTACTAAGCAGCCTTCTTCCTAGGGGCTAACTAACCCAGCGGGGAGGGAGAAGCAGACAAAATGAGGAGGATGACAAATCCCAACCCCAAGTGGGGAAAAATAGCTGGGAAGCTTCTGCTGCCGGGGTGTGTGTGTGTGTGTCACCTGGCCACGACGGTGGCCCTCCTCTGCCGGCCGGGATGAGGGGGTGCAGGGGATGCTGGCGGGGCCGGGGCAGTCCCCGCCACCGGGGCAAGCCTGGCCGGCGGGGCCGGGAGGGA